AGTCAAAATGTGAGAAAGTGTAAAGTGACCAGTGCAGTAAAGTTCAGTCGTGCAAAAGAGAAAAAGATGCAACAAGTTTAAGTTTCTATTTTCCTGCATAAACAACATGAACAAATTAAGCAGAAAATATGTTGACAATTCAACTCTGACGTCTTTACAGTTTTACAGTATGTTGTACAAAAATAATATTCACGTAGAAAAGCAAAGGAAATCACTTTTTAAACTTTTGTAGGTTAAACCTGTTTCTGCTGTTTAAATATGTTCATGATACAAAAGATTCTGTTAAAGTTCTTTTCTAACAGTGAAGTGTTTCAGTTTGGACTCACCGTGTTTGAAAAACAAAGTGGAGATAAAGTTTCTTTAAAATGGGATGAAGGATGAGCAGCTGCAGATCTCAGAGGAAGAGACAGACGCTCTGACGACGAGAGAGAAGAGAGAGAAACAGTGTAGAGGGAGGACAAAGGTGCAGGTGTAGGGGAGTTTCAGGCTCAGATTTCAGGTAAATCACATGATCCAGAAGAGGAAACTCGGACAATCAGAGAGCAGCACCGTGTGTGTGTGTGTGTGTGTGTGTGTGTGTGTGTGCAGATATTACCCTGGGTTCAATTATCCTTCCAAAGTCGACCGAGCAAGAATTCTGAGTGAGAATCCAAGACGCTGCGTCCACTGTGACGTGTAAATATGAAGTGTTTCCATTGTGTTTGGACACTTTGGTGTTTAAATGTTTAAATGATCATTTCAGTCCCTCGTATCACTGCAGTACTTTACCTTAGTACTTTACCACGTCTGTATCACTATGGGTTTGGTAGTCGGTGTTGTGGTGAGTCTCTCCGAGTCCGACACACGAAACATCATAATGTGCTTCAAGAGCAGATGTGACGTCAAATCCAAGGTTCAAGTGGAAGTCAGACGAAAATCGAACGCAGGATGATTGACTGATTGATTGATATCATTTATCATTTTTAAAGCGCCTTTCAAGATACCCAAAGCACTTTACAGTTCATTATTCAGTCACTCCACACTCGTGAAACGTGTTGAGGACCAAAACCTGTTCAAACATCAGACGAGGAAATTCCACCTGCCCTGGTCTGAGCCCAGTTTGAGTTGGTTTAGTCCTGGTTCAGTCCTGGTTTAGTTTTATAATGTCCAGAAGTAGACTCCTTCATCCTTTATTCCCCGGCTCCTTCACCCTGTTCCTTCAGCGCTCACACCATCACGTGCTCACCAGTGTTGCAGAAGTGACTTTAAAAAAGTCGTTTTTGCTTGTTACTTGTTACTTCTTTCTTCTCATTACTCTGGTATTTTTTGGTGGTAAACTCCATCTAAGGCTGAATCTGGCATGAGACCGACAGTCGATAAGAACTGTGAGGGAAAGTAGAAAAGAATTTTACTGAGAGACTCAAGGACGTGAAACTGTTCAGAGGTAAACGGGTGAGCTCAGTCTGTCCGAGGGATTCAACTCTGCAGGCGAGGACTGGAGGACAGGAGGACTGGAGGACTGGAGGGCAGCAGGACTGGAGGACTGGAGGGCAGGAGGACTGGAGGACTGGAGGGACAGGAGGACTGGAGGACTGGAGGACACTGGAGGACTGGAGGACTGGAGGACTGGAGGACTGGAGGAGGACTGGAGGACTGGAGGGCAGGAGGACTGGAGGACTGGAGGACTGGAGGACTGGAGGACAGGAGGACTGGAGGACTGGAGGGCAGGAGGAGGACTGGAGGACTGGAGGACTGGAGGGCAGGAGGACTGGAGGACTGGAGGACTGGACTGGAGGACTGGAGGACTGGAGGACTGGAGGACTGGAGGACTGGAGGACTGGAGGAGGACTGGAGGCTGGAGGACTGGAGGACTGGAGGACTGGAGGGCAGGAGGACTGGAGGAGGAGGACTGGAGGACTGGAGGACTGGAGGACTGGAGGACTGGAGGACTGGAGGAGGAGGACTGGAGGACTGGAGGACTGGAGGACTGGAGGACTGGAGGACTGGAGGACTGGAGGACAGGAGGACTGGAGGACTGGAGGACTGGAGACTGGAGGACTGGAGGACTGGAGGACTGGAGGACTGGAGGACAGGAGGACTGGAGGACTGGGAGGAGGACTGGAGGACTGGAGGACTGGAGGACTGGAGGACTGGAGGGCAGGAGGACTGGAGGACTGGAGGACTGGAGGACTGGAGGACTGGAGAGGGAGGAGGACTGGAGGACACTGGAGGACTGGAGGACTGGAGGACTGGAGGACTGGAGGACTGGAGGAGGACTGGAGGACTGGAGGACAGGACTGGAGGACTGGAGGAGGACTGGAGGACTGGAGGACTGGAGGACTGGAGGACTGGAGGACTGGAGGACAGGAGGACTGGAGGAGGACTGGAGGAGGAGGACTGGAGGACTGGAGGACTGGAGGACTGGAGGACTGGAGGACTGGAGGACTGGAGGACTGGAGGACTGGAGGACTGGAGGACTGGAGGACTGGAGGACTGGAGGACTGGAGGGCAGGAGGACTGGAGGGGCAGGAGGACTGGAGGACTGGAGGACTGGAGGAGGAGGAGGACAGGAGGGGACTGGAGGACTGGAGGACTGGAGGACTGGAGGACTGGAGGACTGGAGGAGAGGAGGACTGGAGGACTGGAGAGGACTGGAGGACTGGAGGACTGGAGGACTGGAGGACTGGAGGACTGGAGGGCAGGAGGACTGGAGAGACTGGAGGACTGGAGGACTGGAGGACTGGAGGACTGGAGGACTGGAGGACTGGAGGACTGGAGGGCTGGAGGACTGGAGGACTGGAGGACTGGAGGACTGGAGGGCAGGAGGACTGGAGGACTGGAGGATCCTCTCCCTGAGTGTCAGCGGCCCTCACTGTGTGCACTTCCTCTGAGGCGGTGACCAGCTCTGGGTCGACCAGCAAAGGTTTGAGGTGAAGGTGACACGACGCTCCTTTACAGCTCCTCTCGTCCAGACCCCGGGGCCCCTTGGTCCTGGTGGACTGTCGACCGGGACAAACTGTCCTCTGTGCCGCCGCCAGAGTGAGACCCAACCCACGTACACAGGAAAGGAACACTGCGTCGAACTGAAAAAGAAACTACGTCTGTTACCAAATTTACAGTAGTAGAACGTTACACTATTTTACCTGAAAAACCACACCAACACTGGGTCACCTCTCACTTCTTCATCTCTCACTTCTTCATCTCTCACTCCTTCATCTCTCACTCCTCCACTCTCACTCCTCACTCTCTCTCACTCCTTCATCTCTCACTCCTTCATCTCTCACTTCTTCATCTCTCACTCCTTCATCTCTCACTCCTTCATCTCTCACTCTTCATCTCTCACTCCTTCATCTCTCACTCCTTCATCTCTCACTCCTTCACTCTCTTCACTCATCTCTCACTCCTTCATCTCTCACTCCTTCATCTCTCACTCCTTCATCTCTCACTCCTTCATCTCTCACTTCTTCATCTCTCTCCTCATCTCTCACTCCTTCATCTCTCACTCCTCCATCTTCACTCCTCCATCTCTCACTCTTCATCTCTCCTTCATCTCTCTCTCACTCTCATCCTCTCATCTCTCACTCCTTCATCTCTCACTCCTTCATCTCTCACTCCTTCATCTCTCACTCCTTCATCTCTCACTCCGTCTCTCCTGCTTCACTTTCCCCGCCCCTTTTAAAGTTCTTGGTTCTGATTGGCTCGTGCATCAGTCTCTCAGCGCTGCGCACAATAAAACTCTCTCCAGAATAAAAACATTCAACATAAAAACATGTAAACATGACAACTCCACATGTCACTCAAGTCAGGGCTCAAAATGTCACTTTATTTTAATTAATAGTAAAAAAATATATAAAAGTTTAGGTAATTTCTGAATCAGACCAAACATGAAAAAGTCTGAACAGAAGTTTCAGTCAAACGTCTGAAACGGGACAAAGTTTCATTTCCAGAGTGAAGGACGCTTCTTCAGACGGACGATGCACGAGACGAGAATCTGAGAACAGGTCAGGTGGAAAAGGTCAGGTCGTGTGGAGGTCGTGTGGAGGTCGTGTTGTGAGGTCGTGTGGAGGTCGTGTGGAGGTCGTGTGGAGGTCGTGGAAGGTCGAGGTCGTCGTGGAAGGTCGTCGTGTGGAGGTCGTGTGGAAGGTCGTGTGGAGGTCGTGTGGAGGTCGGTGTGGAGGTCGTGTGGAGGTCGTGTGGAGGTCGTGTGGAGGTCGTGTGGAGGTCGTGTGGAGGTCGTGTGAAGGTCGTGTGTGAGGTCGTGTGGAGGTCGTCGTGTGGAGGTCGTGTGAAGGTCGTGTGGAGGTCGTGTGGAGGTCGTGTGTGAGGTCGTGTGGAGGTCGTGTGGAGGTCGTGTGGAGGTCGTGTGGAGGTCGTGTGGAGGTCGTGTGGAGGTCAGAACCAGGAGTCCGACAGCAGCAGATATCAGACGTGGGACCTGCAAGTCGTGACTCAGTCTCGAGTCAGACTTGACTCACTATTTTGAGGACTTGACTTGCTTAAATGGATTAAGACTTGGGACTTGACTCGGACTTGAGGAGTGTGACTTGAGAAGACTTGGTGCTTCTGCTAAAAAATAGTTGTTTTTATAAAATACTTTTCTCTTTATAGTTGATAAATGTGACGCTGAATTTTACAGGAACAAACTGGAACATGTCGCTCCCACTTCTGTTTGTACTTTGGATTGACCTGAAATATTGTACTGTGAAGTACTGTGAAGTACTGTGAAGTACTGTGATGTGGTGTCCTCAAATGTACTACTATACTATATACAAAGCAGTACAGTATTTTTTTTTTTATTATTTATTGTTTATTTATTAAATATTCAAGTCAGTTGAGAAGACGACCTGGACAAGAGACAGAATAAAACAGAAACACAAACAGAAACATTCACCTCAACCACAACATGAAACAGAAAACAGAGACACGAGACACTGAAACATTTACAGTTAAAGATATAAAGTGTTAAACTTGTGCAATGATCCTGTCAAATATTCTGGACGCAGTTTTTAAACAGTAACACAACATGATGAAAAATATATGATTTATTATTTATTAAACACTTTTCCATCTGAATTCCTTCTGTTCTGATCGTTCAACTCTTATTTAAATACTCAAATATAAATATACCAGGACTTTTTAAGTGCAATTTAGTTTAAAATTCATATAATTTGTAAAAATCTAAAGACTTGAAGTGACTCAGTGAACTCCAAAACAGACGACTTGAAGTCGACTTGGACTTGACTTGATCCCACCTCTGGCAGCTACAGAAACAGGCTTTGTACAAAACACAGAGGATCAGATTTGTTTAAATAAAAATAAAAAGTGAAATGTGCTTTTAAAGTAGTTTTCCATCCAGAGAAAATCTGAATTATGTGCGTGTCATTCTCCAGTTTGAGTCCATGAAACCAGAATCAAATCTGTTGAACTCAAC